AGAAAACTTGGAAATGATGCATCTCCTTCCACATTTAGTAGTGTCTACCTCTTATTTCATTAATGATTGTCGAAAATCTGCAATTCCATTTCTTTTGTCCATATTCTTTGTTTGAGTAATGAACCAGCCAATGGGCTTGCTAAATGGGCCTTTGGACTCTTGCCCCATATCTCTGTATAATCCACTTTGTTTTATTTCTAAATTAAATGTAATTAAAAAAAAAACAGATTTCTCATTGGAAAATATGAAATATAGACAAATTTACAAGAGACTTACTCGACTTGCAAGTAGAATCGTTCTACATAGTCATACATGTGAAAGAGAAATATATTGTTGTCAGCCGGTGAGTGTATGTGTTAAAGATCCTCCAACAGAATTCTTATTCGAAAACTGTTGGGAATTTTAACAGAGTTCCTGAAAGTATTTATGATATATATCAAAATAACATTGTATTGCGTTTTGATTTTAAATTACAGAGATTGGACTTTATTTTGCATTCTTTTTTAAAAAATTCATAATCATCTTTTAGAGATCATTTCAGTATTAATTGCCTTATTATAATGAGTTTAGTTTTAGAAGTGGATAACAGTTTGAAGACAACTTTCATAACTAGGAGATTTTTTTCTCCGGTAAAGATGTTGATTACTATCATGTAATCACTCTTAATAGTACTTATATTTCTGTTTTTAGTGTTTTGATTTTTGTTGTGCCTCGAGATTGTGTATTCCCGTCTTATTTCTTTTGACGTCTTCAATGCCATATAATCTATACTATTATTTACGAGGTCAATCATATGTGTCATCACCACAGTGATTGTCCTATGTGGCATTATTTATACTATTATTTACGAGGTCAAAAATCATATATATCATCACTACAGCGATTGTTCTACGTAGCATTAATAAAAAAAATATTATGTGTCATTTTAATTCGTTTTGATAGTTCTATTATTAATCCTATGTGTACAAACCGGTGACATGGATTTTTCTTCGATAATATAATGGGCCATGGGCCAGAGATTTTAACTACCGTCATAACCACAGAAACCTAAACCCTAGCGTATTCTACTTCTTAAGGCTATAATTATTATCTGAAATCCGAACCAAGATCCGCTTCAAAAAAATCAGATATCCGAGAGGGTCGAATCCGGATTCAGATAGTAAAATCTTATGTTCGTCAAAATCGGATACAGATCCAGATAGTTAAATTATAATGTCCAAATATCCGTATTCGAATCTCTAACCTCTAAATATATTTAAAAATGATATTTTATTGATAATTTTGCAATATAATAGAGATTATTATATATAAAAAGAATTTAAATTTAAATTAAAATATCCTTTCATAATAAAAAGTTAATTCTTTTGCAAAATATTAAATAAAATTTTTATAAAATTATTATTATTATAATATTTAATATTTTTAATATTTTTTTAGATTCGGATCCGGTTTCGGATATCCGCGGATATCTTAATATTTAGACGAATATCCGCAGTCCGGATATCCAAACATCCCGGATACGGATCCTGATAATTAAAACTCGGATCTAGATATCACAAAATTACCCGGATATCCGCTCCATTCTGGGGCTACTTCCTCTTATATATATCATTAATCCTACATTTGATAGGTCTATCATTATATATATATATATATATATATATATCATTATGTGTCATTTTAATTCGTTTTGATAGGTCTATCATTATATATCATTATGAGATTTTAACAACCGTCATAACCATATAAACCTAAACCATAGCGTATTCTTCTTCTTAGACCATCTCCAATGGTCCCTCATTTTGAGGGAAAACATAAAAAAATAAGGGAAACTCTTCTCCAATGGTACATCATTTTGAGGGAAAAAATGAGTTTGTTAACAGTAGTACTTCAAATTTGAGGGAACACTATTCATCCCCTCATTTCACTTTTTAGCTTTGTTTATTTGCAAAATGATCATTATAGTTTTACATGTATCTCATCTATATCTAAACAAAATTTTAAACTTTTATTTATTATACAAATAAAATATTATTATTTTAAAAAT